AAGGACATCTTCTGCCTCCTCTCTGTGGCATGATCGTCGTCGAACTGGTCGGCTCCGAAGCTCTCCAACGAAGGTTTGTGACCTCCAGTTCCAATGGAGAGCAAATAGATGGCAAAGAAGAAGGCCACCTCGTGTGCCATTCTTGGTTTGGTGCATGCAGTAATAGCAGTATCAGCGTCACATGGCCTGAGGGCTGGCAAGAAACCATGACAAGCAAAGCAGAACCAAACCCTACATATGGACATATATTATATATTTGAGTTTTGTGATTAATTAGAAAGATTGATGTGAAAATGAGAGGAAGAAAGAGAATATATACGAGAGATATAGAAGACGACGCAGGAAGCGAAGACAGTGAAATAGCGACCCAAGTAGGCATCAGCAACGAAGCCTCCAAGGAGGGGCATGAGAGTGGTGACACCAGACCAATAGTTGACGTTCCTGGCTGCAGTTTTGAGGTCTTCATGGATCACCTTCGTCAGGTAAAGCACCAAGCTTGTTGCTATCCCGAAGTAGCTCAGCCTCTCGCTGAACTCAATTGCTGCATCAATTATCCATTCATCAACATAACTTACCAACTCAACGTGCTTTTTTTATAAAAAAAAAAAAAATTGAAGGGCAAATACTAACTGCCTGTGATTATAAGTACGATCGAATATCCTCCCGCATATAGAGGAGTTTTTATGCCACCAAACTACAAGCCTATTGAACATGTTTCAATACTAACCCTTTTTTTCAATTATTATCCCACATGCGATTCATCTGTGACGCCAAGTATTTCGCGCCCTTATACAGATAAAATGAAATTTTTTATTTTCCACACAGTAATTATTTTTGACATTATGTACATAAATATCAACGCATAAAATTAAATAAAAGAAAAAAAGCCCCCGTTGAATTATCTAGACAAACAGAATCAGAATTAGAATTACAAAAATTAGGGAAAAAATAGAAATTTTTTAATTTCTAAGTAAACGTCTATGCTGTAGCTTTGAGTTTTTCTTTTTTAAGTGGAAGTACTGTACATAACTACCTTGGCCTTCGAAATGTCTCATTCGGGGATCGCCCATGTTTCAAGAACGTCATTTATCTATCGTTGTTTTAGTCCAATCAAATGGATTCCCACCGGGCCACATAATTCAACCATAAATGTCAAAAGTACTGAAAGTGAAGGCCACTAAATAAAATTATGGTAAGAATCCGATGGGTACTTTACTTCCTAGTGGAGATGGATCCCATCCTGAATATTTAATTTTGATTGAACTTTTAATCTTAATTTTGTTTTACTCAAAATAATTTCTCAATTCATTCATTCAATTATTATCGCATAACCATTCAAATATTGCCACTCCCATCTCTCCATCCAAAAGAAAAACCCAATTAGAGACATAACCAGGGCTTATAGACAGAAGGAAATCGAGATTAAGAATACAATATAAAGTTTGTATAAATTTTTAGGGAGTAAAAATATATAACACTTACATAATACTACTAAACCAACATATTCATTATTCTCAAGGGACTTGCGTGGCTGCATATATATCTGAATCCTATAAGGTATATATAAATATTCTCACGAAACAACAAATTATTAGACTTAGCTGTCAGTCTTCAGAATCTGTGACTATAGATAGATAGATAGGGTATGATATGAATGAAGGGGAATAAAGCTATACTAACTAATGGAGACCGCAGGTATCCAATCCTTAAACCTAGTACACACATTTAATTCAGAACATGGTACGCGTCCTAAAAAACGGAGAGAAACCACAGATCAACATTCTAACTGATCGGCTCCATGTACATAATATAATAATCAAGATTTGTGTGGTTGTTGTATCTCGTGACACATTATTTAATACTAAGATTTCCAATAGTGGAAGTGGGAGCCACCACTTTCTATGGTCATGGAGCTCACTAGCTAGGAAATTCAGAGCCATGTCTTTGCAATTGATTCACGCTAATAACCTAACATATTGCAGCCCACAACAGCACGACCAAATATATATATATATATATATATGAACATTATTTATTGATGTTTTGAACATCTTTTTCAATTGTTGACATCGATTTACAGCCAAGTAACGTGCACATCCAAAATTCTGGCTTTCACATGTGGGATCGATTTTGACTTACTAATTATTATGGGGCATACAATTTTCATAAACAACATAGAACAAGGGTTTTGTATTTTTGGTCCTGTAACAAACAAAAAGAATTTTACAGCCATGATTTCTGCTTATCACATGTCGGCAGGAACAAAAAGGAAGCATTAATCTTTTCTTTTCTTTTTTTGGGGACAGAAAAGGAAGTACTTTGTATATGCGCGCGCGCACACACATATATATAACTAATGGAAGTTTAGAGTGGCCTATTTATCGAATAATTCGATAAAAATGTGAAGAAATGTAATAAAACTCTTTCAAGACAATTTATGTTTGTATATTATATCTTGAATAGAAAATTATATGTAACTCAATACTTTCGTTTTAGAATCATTCTCTTATAAATCTTGTATCTGCATTACCAGACCACTTCCCAGACTTGAATTCTAAAGATTGGGATTTTTGTTTTCAAACAGCTTCAAACTCGAATGAAGTATTAACATATTCGTTTCAAATAGGTCAAATATGATGGTTTTGAGTCTCATTCAATTATCAGATTTAGCAGCATATGCTTGAAAGGAGAATAATAGAAAACTTAATATTTTCACTTCTGTATACTTTTCGTGGAGGGGGGAGATAAAGAGAATAAAGTGCTTTACAGATGCGTCTTTTCCCCAAAAGTTAAAAACCATTGGAATTCCTGAAAGTTTATAAAATTCTGCGTGCCAAAAACAAGGAAACCAAAGATGGAATTTTATTTTTCCATAATTATATTCTCATTCTGGCTTATGTAAAGGTCCTGTCACTAACAAAACATCTAATGCTAGCTATCATTCTTCCATTTAAACTACAGTCTTCCTAACCCTTCAATATATCATTTACAGGTCTCCTTTTTCGGGTACAAACTTATGTATAGTCTGCTGCATCCATTATGATTTTCTCACAAGTCACAAACTATATCATGGCCTCCTTCATTTTGACGTCAATTATATCACCATATATATGTGTGCGTGTTATGAGTCTCACATTAGGGAATCTCACAAATGTTGTGGGGTTTATAAGTTCAAGGGGCTCTCCCTCCCAATAGGCTAGTCTTTTGGGATGGGCTCTCTCTTTGGCTTATGCTCGTCACAGTGCACGTGTGTGTACGTTTTAGAACACAACATGCAGGCTCCACTTAATAAGTAATGCCGTTTAAAAGTAAAAAGTAGAAACTGATATGGTAATGTAAAATAGGCGTCTTGTATTCGTAAAGTAGAGTTTAGGTTGCTGTTGGAACGCTAATCTTTTGTTCCATGTAACATGGGACTCGAAAGAAACAGAAGTAAACCAACCATAGTACAAAATGGAACTTTCTATAAAGACTCAGACAAATTTAAAGAAACCTGGTTATTTGCCACATATTGCTTGACTGGAAAAGGAAAACACAGATATAGCAAGAATTGAATCGAATGTCTGTTGCAAGATTTTAAAAAAGAAAACAGTCGATATTAAAGAGATCATGGTGCATGAGAATATATGAACTAATTAAGCAGGTTGTGGAAGTTGAAATATAGAGCAGAAATTTTACTACAGTGCTGCTTTTCTTGACAACCCAATTAAAAGAGCTAGCTAGCATGAAGAAACTAAGCAAAGTGAAGTATGAGTGGGTATATTCTTACCGATAATGAATAGGGCAGCTTTCCAAGAACCAGTGGAAGCTCGAAGAGGAAGTCTTCCTTTATGATCCAGTGAAGAATCATAAACCCATTTCGTCTCATCAACCTCGACTCCACCACCTTCAATTTCCATTGCTTTCTTCTTCTCCATCTTTTCCAAAGCTTGGTGGCTCAAAAAGCTGAAAAAGCAGAAGAAGCCTAGCCTCTGCTAGCTCAAGCACTCCAAATTAGCTAGGTGTGGCTGGTTTTTGCACACAAAAGCCCATCTGACCCCTCCTTATATAGGAAAGCATTTGCCTTTTCTGACTCACCAATTTCGATATCACAAAATAAAATTCTTGTTATTTTTTTATTACAACTAATATAGTTGATATTTTCTCGAACTTTATTCAGCTTTATATTATATAGATATATATAGATATATTTGGGGATGAACTGCCTTGTTATTCCTAGTTAACATATAAGAATAAAGGAAAACCCCTTTGAAATTGGGAAGGACTTAAGTAAGGGGTCATTATTGTAAAAGTCAATGTCATAATGGAATAGCATCCATGACCTATCTCCATGGGTCCACATTTTGTTGATATTTTAACCAACCAAAACATAAAGCTGCCACTCACTCACTACTCACACACCTATTTATTTATGCACTTTTATTGTATATAGATATACACGAATTTCTTCAATCAGTTAAATAGACAAAAACTATTTGAGTTAGGGATAAAGTTATACTGCCAATTACTTTATTTTCTGCTGCTCTTACAAATGGCACAATTGATTGGATTCAACTCCCTTAATTTCTCAATTACTATCCATCGTTATATTTTATTGGCTTCTGTAAGTTAGATGAACAAAAATTCAACGAGGACAATTACTTTTGTTTTGCACCAATCTCATAATGGCGTAACTGACTAGATTCACCTTATTTCTTATGATTATTCACCTTTAACTTTCTAAACAATAAAACGGGGACCTTGGCGAATGAAAAGGACTTCACACTTTAATACAAAGTTGAGCATTTAGACTTTTGTGGACGAGGGGAAAAAAATCACACTTTGAAAATTACCTCTCTTTGGACACAAAAATACTTGAATATGAATTAATTGACGGCAGAGGGATACAAGATAATTGTGTAACAAAAACGAATTTTTTGCAACCTTAATGTGCATGAAAGAAATTACTAAAAAAATTAATTTTGTGATAAGCTACGTGGCGAAGGATTAAATAATATGTGTATTCAATGGATCATGATTTTTGTAAATTGAATTAAAAAAAGGTCCGTAATTAAACTATCGTTACGAGTTAATGTAATTATTCAAACCAACTCGGCTCAATATATATCGTCACACTCAACAGTAAGGGTCACAAAGTTAATGATCAAACACAAAATCATACCCAATACAAATGCGTGATTTCTTTTTTGTTTTTGAAAAAAAGGGCCCAAGCATATGGAGATGATGTATGACATTAAGTACAGTGGGTTCGATCCCAACTTGAATGAAACGAGTGATTGTGAAGAGAGTGACGCACCCAAAGGCAAATTGAAATGTGAAGTACAAATTGTTAATTACTTGCAAGACTACGTTTCTACATTCATGTATCTTTCCTTACCTCTTTTATTATTAGCCTCAGAAATACACCTTCCTATCTCAAGACTCTCTTAGTATTGTGTGTGTGTGTGTGTGTAGGACATAGTCTTTTTGCTACTCTCTCATAAGCTTGCAAACTTGCTTTGTTCTGTGACAAATGTTAAATACTGTAAACATGTCAAAGCTACAGGACTTGATTATTCTCGAAACATCATAATTCATAACCCCTCCACTGTCTTTGTTGCATTTGTGAAGTTTTTGCCTTGCATTAGTTTTTCGATTTTTTCTGTGATTCTGATGTTGCCCGTAAAACAGTATTCCTCAACGACGTGTGAGTCTTTTCAATAAAAGTTTCAGAACCAATTTACAAATTCCCGGAAAACAACGGTTTGGGGGGGCTCTGATTTGAATTTCCTATTTTTTTCCTAATGAATTTTTACCTTTTTGTTTTCTTTGGCAGTATATATAATAGGGCACCCTAATGTTATTTTTCAATATTATCCAACATTTTAATCTTATTTATGGTTCATCAAGTACTCTAATACTGTTTTTTTTTGCGCATTCAAAACTTTTTGATATTATTTTTTATTTGATCTTATTTATCGTTTATGGTTTCAAATGCACTAAAACTTAATGCTGATTACGTCATAAATAAGATTAAAATGTTGGATATTACTGAAAAGTTTGCTAGATGCTACTCTTCCGATCCTTAATATAAGATCCATTTAACTAATTTAATAGATTAAGGAAGTTAGGTAAGTTAGTTAATTATAAGAAATGTAATATATTTTTTCTAAAACACCGTAATCATCTTTCTTAATACCTCATCTCTCTCTTCTACTTGATTCTGGTTGATGGAGTATCCATAAGGGTCATTTAGAGAAAATTAATAAATATGAAAAATAGGTCTTATATTTAGAATAAAAATTAACTCAACAATTGGGTCTTATATTGAGGACCGGAAGAGTATTTGAAAAAAAAGTATCTTAATGTAAATGCCGATACCACGGAGTTACACAGAAAAGGTGTTTTAATCTTATTGAAGCAGAAATATTCCTCTTCACGTTATAAGTTCAGTAAATTAAAAGGATTCCCATTTAAGTAATCGATGACTACTCACTCCACCACCCCGGGCCCTCGGATATAGACACATGGATAGTGAATTATATTATATTTTTTATTTGGACACCTAACTCCCACGAAACAGGGTGACACATGTGATTGCCAACCTTTAGTAAGACAGATTAATAAACTAACAAAAGATAATTAGGGCATATGATCACCCCTATTCCAATATTCAAAAGCCCTTCCTCCCTTTGCTTGTCCATATGCATTAAAGACTTTTGGAATTGAAATTATTTATCTACTTGTGATTCGGATAAGTATTTGATTTGTTAATTTTGTGCAAGACAAAAGTATTTGATTTGACATTAAATGAAATAGAGTATTAAAAAATATTTGTTTGGAGAATAACAGTATAAAAATAAAAGGTAATGCTTAGCTAATGATGATGAAAACAAGTTAAAGAGTGAATGAAAATAATACTTCTCCTATCTTTAATATAAGACATATTTAACTAATTTAATTAGATTAAAAAGGTTAAATAAGTTAGTTAATTATAAGAAATATGACATGCTTTTCTAAAACACTATAATCATCTTTATTGATATCTTCCCTCTCTCTTTTATTTAATTATGGTTGAGAGAGTGTCCATAGGGATAATTTAGAAAAAATTGATAAATATGAGAAATAAGTCTTATAATTAGGACTAAAATCAACTCAACAATTAGGTCTTATATTAAGAACCGGAGGAGTACATCCTTTCTCATTTTCTTTAGTTTTGAGTATTAGCAAACACGGAAATAAATGGGACATTCTAAGGTTACTCATACAAAAATTTCTTCTTTTCATCGGACCATGGCTACTAAAACATAAATATAAATAAGTTTTTTGCTAATTTAGAAAATGGGTTTTTGAGTGGATTTTTAATATCCAAATATAATTTAATCGTATAATGTCAAAAACGTTATATGAATGAAATTTCAAATTTCAGAATTTGTCTCTCACACAGACACAAACCAAAATACTTATATTAATATTTTTTTCATGGCGTAAAATCCACATTATTATTTAGAAAAAATATTATTTTTTTTCGATAGAGAGAAAAAAAACTGTTATTTAATTCACAGACAAATAACTAAACAGGTCTACAGACACTACAGTATAAAAAACGCCAACTCTTACTTCTCATGCCAAATATCACCACAATGATACGCTTATTAATTATAATTTATTCTCTAAAGTATCTTTATTGATTATACATGTTAAAAAACTTCTATTCTAAGATAGTCATGATTAAAAAGATACTTTAAAAGATTCAACTTATACTTGTTACAAATAGCTAAATTTTCTTAATTTATTTAAATTAATTTAGTAACTTTTATATTAAGTACTGGAAGTAGTAATTTCTAAAACCATGAGATACAAGTTTTATTTGTGGCCAGAAAATAGCTTCTTCTTCTTTTTTTTGTTTATTTGTAGTAAAATACTATTAGACATGATTTTCGTGCGTTCCGCAGTGTTTAAATAATGATGAATTGCACTTTACATATCCAGCCCTTATAAATCTATTCATTATATATATCACAGTTGATAGCTTTGCATATATTCTCTAACACTCACTTTCTGATGATTTAAAAATGTGTGTATAATTTTTTTTAAAAAAATAAACTATCACGCATATGCTGGACAAATTAAATGATGGCAACTAGTAGGGGTCCTCATCCGGCACTCATCACAATGATGCAATCTGGACCATCCAAAATCTTATATGAATGGCTGAGATTTAAAATTTTTAATATGCAATTTTTTCAATAATAATTTTATTTTTTTGAAGAAGTGTTAGTTCTAAAATTATCTTTATTTTAAATTATGTATTTATTAAAACAAAAAAATTAAATAAATATATAAAAAATCTAAATTCAATGTAAACCATCCAAAATTAATCCGTCTAAATTACGATAAGTACAATGATGGGCATGGAATATGCTCCCCTGTATGGTGCATCGATTGTGAGCACTGATTGCAATCTTCAATATAATATTATACGATATCCTATTCCATGCTATGTAAACTAATTATTAAAAAACAAAATTAATGGTTGACTTGATAAGGTTTATATGATGATAATAATAATTTAATAGCACAAAGAGTAATTAATATAAAAAGTATGCGGACGAAAATTAACATTTCTTGAAGGCAATTGATTGGCATTTTTGGTAATCAAGTAATCAACCAGAAACGAGCTAACAAAATAGTATTTAATAAAGGGTGAGGTCAACTAATTTTGTATGGGATTTGGGTGGAAGAAGAGCCAAAAGTCATTGTGGCCAAAGCACTTGCAAGTTTCATCAATACATATAAATATTTAGCAATATTTGATGGTAAGGGGGTCAGCCAAATCTGAATTTTTGTAGGAGACAATCTTTGGTGGTTCTTATTACCGGGTTCAATTGAAGTAAAGAAGATTATGAGCAACTTGAAAGAGGTATGAGTTAATGCTGGCCAGCATTTATGTCCCTTCACTCTCTCGTCCAATGCACCATTTGATGATCTACAATTTTCTTATTTA